TATATATATATATATATAAATCTTTGACTCTAGCACAGATTTCAGTAATACAACTTCTTTCAGGTCACTTCTTAGATGAGTTTTCTGTGGGTGGATGGTGGTAAAGTCACAATGGGAATGGACAATACATAGCTTAGAATTGTTGAAAAAGTGGGGCTTTATAAGATTATATTTTAGTGAGTTAAAAAACTAGGGGAAATTTTCTTTCTTCTGTCTTTGTTTATATAGCCTAATCCCTCCTTTTCAATACTAAGGCAGGAATTTGAAGAAAGTAAGTTTTATTCCTTCTTAGTTATGAGCATTGTCCAGAAGATTTCACCAATCCCATGCCTACAAGCCATTAAGTAGGCAATGTGGGAGACACACAACACTTCCTTCAAATTCTATACACTGGAATTTTCTTTCTACCATGGAGTAATTGTATATTATTCAATCATCAATAATCTTTTTATATCAATAGTTAAGCTAAGAAATCCATCTATCTTTGACAATATATGGGTTGCTAATTTTGTTAAAAACATATATGTTTTTAATGGAAAACTCTTATTTAATAAATATAAATTTCAAAAATACAACTTTTGGATTATAGCAGTTTTCCCCCTTAACCACCCGCCTATCCACAAAGCATTCCATATCCTAAACCCTCTCCCATCCCATTCTTCATTAAGATTCATTTTTAATTATCTATATACAGAATTAAAAATGAATCTATATACAGAAGATCAACTTAGTATATACAAAGTAAATTATCTATATACAGAATTAAATATACAGAATTATCTATATACAGAATTAAAAATTAATCTATATACAGAAGATCAACTTAGTATATACAAAGTAAAGATTTCAACTGTTTGCACCCACACAGAAACACAAAGTATAAAGTACTGTTTGAATACTAGTTTTGCCGTTAATTCTCATAGTACAATACATTAAGGACAGAGGTCCTAAATGTGCAAGTGCACAGTGACTCCTGTTGATGTAACAACTGACACTCTTATTTATGATGTCAAATCACCTGCCAAGGCTATGGAAACCTCTTGAGTTCACAACCTCCAACAATATTTAGACAAGGCCATAGTCAAAGTGGAAATTCTATCCTCCCTTCAGAGAAAGGTACCTCCTTCTTTGATGACCACTTCTTTCCACTGGGATCTCATTCACAGAGATCTTTCATTTAGGTCATTTTTTTGCCACAGTGTCTTGGTTTTCCATGCCTGAGATACTCTCATGGACTTTTTAGCTAGATCTGAATACCTTACGGGCTGATTCTGAGGCCAGAGTGCTATTTAGGGTGGCATTTGTCATTCTGAGTCTGCTGTGTACTCTGCTTTCCATGTTGGATCGTTCCCTCCTTTTTAATTCCATCTTTTTTTTTTTTTTTTGACAGGCAGAGTTAGACAGTGAGAAAGAGACAGAAAGGTCTTCCTTCCATTGGTTTACCCCCCTAACGGCCACTACAGCTAGCGAGCTGCACCGATCCAAAGCCAGGAGCCATGCAGGTGCAGAGCCCAAGCACTTGGGCCATCCTCCACTGCCTTCCTGGGCCACAGCAGAGAGCTGGACTGGAAGAGGTGCAACTGGGACTAGAACCCAGTGCCCCAACTGGGACTAGAACCCAGGGTGCTGGCGCCACAGGTGGAGGATTAGCCAAGTGAGCCACAGCACCAGCCAAATTCTATCAATTACTATTAGCAGACACTGGTCTTATTTTTGTGATCCCTTTGACACTTAATCCTATCTTTATGATCAGTTATGAACTTAAACTGATCACTTTAACTAGTAAGGTAGCATTGGTACCTGCCAACTTAATGGAATTTGGAGTCCCATGGCAAGTTTTAGCGTTACCCTTAGTGGTAAGTCTGAGAGACCATGTGCCAAACTGTTTTTGAAATGCACATATTCCATACATTCATGCAGATCTTTATAACATTTCCCTAAACATGCAACTGAAAATTGAATTTCACATAGACTCAATTAGTTGACTACCCTCCGTATTTTCATCATAATTTCTGTTTTATTTTTCTCATAATTCAGGCATCAGAGCAAAATTTTTCTGTTCTGTATATGTAATATTTTAATGTACATATCTTTTTCATACTGTATCACTTTTAGTTTTAAGAGGAAAACTTATGCTTTAGAATGTTATAGCTAATTTTTATCAAGTAACATTTCACTTATAAAATATTAATCCTATTGAGAATATATCAGATTCATAGTGTTTATATAATATATTTTCTCAAAAAATTTACATGTTCTATTCTTGCCCTTAGAGAGAAAACCCACTAAAGTATACTTTAAGATATTCTTTTTATCTATTAATATAGCTGTTAATTTTTTTAAATGAGAGAAATTAGAAGTTTACAAAAACATATTCATAAATCCTGGCCTAAATTTTATATATCTTGGGGCTTAGCACATATTTTACTTTACAAAAATCTGTGTAAAAAGGACCCCCTCATTCATCCTTTGTTTCTTAAAAATAAAACTTACTATTATAATTATATACCTATGTTAACATTCAACTCAATAAATACTAGTTGAAAACTCTGTGTGTAATATGTCTTGCAAGAAATATAAAGTAGAAATAAAACAGCTCTGAATCAAGCAGCTAGGTTGTCATACAGAGGAAAGTGCTGCTAACCAGAGGGAATTGGTAGATAAAATGCTTATAGAAGATAATAAAGTGGTGTAGGAATCTCAAATTTACAGAGAAAATTGAGAAACTGGACTCAGACCTCACATTAAAAAATACACTGGAACTAGACAAGTGGAGTTTGAAGGATACAAATTACAGTTGATGGGCTGTGGGTGGAGAACATTAAGTTTCACAGTGCTTTCTGAGAATCAATACAGATATTCCCTTCTTATGTTCCAGAAACATTTCCAAAACATTGTTTTGCAACCCTTTCTGCTGTTGGTTCCAACTTGCAATGCATTTTATAAACTTATGACTGATGGTGAGACTGTCTTTTCAACTGTAAGTGATCTTCCATAAACACCCAGGGACGCTGCACAGACAGAGGGAGGAAAGGAAAGGCATGTAGTTGAGCAGAGCCGAAGAGTAGGCCATGCATAAAGAAACTATGTACAATAAATTTGAAAAATCATTAGACTGCATTATGTATGTAACGAAGAATTTATGTGAGCCTTAAGGGTTGAACTACATTAGATATCAATCTAAGTTCACAAGACTATTTTCACCACAATAATGCACTGCAATTGGCTTTATTACCAAATGTTTTTGTTTGAATATTTAGAGGGTAACACTATAAATTGTTTTCACCCTGCTGTGGACTTTACCCTCGTACGACCAGTTCCTAAAGAGCCCAACTAAAAGAATTTAGATTTCTTGAGAAAAAGAGATTGTTATTTGTTTTTAATTGGCAAATAATAATTTTATATGTTTATGGAGTACAACATAGTATTTTGGTATATGGCTATGTTATGGAATGATTAATTCAGGATAAGTAATATACACATTATCTCTCATACTTATCATTTTATGTACTGTAAACACCTGAAATTTGCTTAACAATTTTAAAATAAACATTATATTGGTAACTATAGGTACCACGCTTGCTGTTCAACAAATTTCAAAAATTTATTCATTCTGGATAATTGAAACTTGGTACCATCTGTTCCTGTTTACTATCTCTATCCCAGCTTCTGGTAGTCACTATAGTATTCTCTAGTTACACGAATTCATTTTTGTTGATGTTGTTTTTTAGATTCCATATGATATTTGTCTTTTTTGTGCCTTTCCTTTGTTGTTTAACATACTATCCTTCAGGTTCTAACATGTTGCTGAAAATGAAACAATTTCTTTTAATGTTAATAAATATTCCTGAGTATATTTCTCTGCATGTGTGCCACATTTTCTCTAAGCCATGAGTCTGTAGATGGACACTTAGATTTGTTCTATATCTTGACTAGTGTGAACAATGCTGCAGTAAACATGGCATTATAGATATCTCTTCAGCATACTGAGTTCAGTTCCTTTAGATATATGCCCAGAAGTGAGATTGCTGGATGAGTATGGTAGTTTTAACTTTATTTTTTCTTAATCTCCATACTGTTTTCCATAATGACTGTACTAATTTGCATCCTCACTAACAATGTACAAAGGTTCTCTTTTCTACATAATTCCAACCAACATCTGTTACATTTTGCCTTTTTTATAACAGCCATTCTAATAGATAGGTTTTAGTTTCATTTCCCTGATTAGGGATGTTAACATTTTCTCACATACCCTTTATCATTGTGTATTTCTTCTTTTGAGAAATATCCATCCAATTACTTCAAAAACATGCATGGAAAAGTGGGGTTAATAGGTACATTTACATCGGTGCAAAAAAATTGAAATGCATGCAAAGTTTTTTCATGATATGCATTTTCCATGAATATTTTTAAGGCCCTTCATATTTTGAAATTTAGTAGTTTTATAACTCCATGTTTGCTCTTTTCCATCATGACTGCTATGGTTATGTGGAATTTTTTGTGGTTAAATACAAATTTTAGGAAATTTTTTCTATTTCTGTGAAAAATTATATTGGAGTTTCATTGAATCTGTAGATCACATTGAGTAGTATGGTTATTTTAACAATATTAGTTATTCAACCCACAAACATTTGATTTTTTATTTTTAAAAATTAAATTTATTCAATTTCCTTCATAAATGTTTATAGATTTCACTATATAAATCTTTTATTTTCTTAATTAATTTTTTAGAATTTATTCTTTTTAAAGAAAGGTTTATTTATCTATTTATTTGAAAGGCAGAGTTACAGAGAGATGGAGACAGAAAGAGAGTTCTTCCATCTTCTTGTTTTTTTTTAAAGGTAGAACAAATTTTTATTATACATTTTATTTTAAAAATTCTTTTCAATGAATGCATTTTATCAAGATTGACACAGTGGGAAATAATAATCACTTACAGTTTTATATTTATGTACAGATTATTTTAGGACAATCCAAACATTTGAGCAATAAGTCTCAGTTTAGAATTTGAAGCATTTTAATACATCTACCAGGAGGATCTCTTTCCAAATGGAACTTCTTTAGATGAAGTTTTCTAAGCTTTTCTTTGTAGGATTTAGAAATCTGTAATGTGCGTTATCAACATTTCCTAATTTTGAGATTTCCCTGGGACATGTAACCATCAGTAGCTGCTATCATCTGAACAGAGAGGGAGGTTTGCAAATAGTCAGCACTAATTTTCCACAGTCTTTACTCATGAATTAAGTCATTCCTTTTGTCCTTTATTCCTAGGACAAATATGGAAGTCTGATCTTGTACTGATAGTAGTAAAGTTCAGTTCCCTTTAAGAGATTGATAAATTAAAAGGCAAATGCTCATAAACAATGCTTAGTTACACTGCGAGTCTCATGAGAAACTGGGCAACAACTTACCAGAATGCAGAACTCAGTCTCGCAACTTGTTAGCTAGCAATTCTCAAATCTTTTTCTCAATGATTAAATTCTGAAAATAACCATGTGATTGGGACAAGTCTGTACACCCATGGCCTTAATCTGTTACTTCCTCCTTTTGGTGAGTTGAATGCATGACAAAGCAGAGGCATAAAATCAATTTTTTTTTTTTGACAGGCAGAGTTAGACAGTGAGAGAGAGAGACAGAGAGAAAGGTCTTCCTTCCATTGGTTCACCCCTGAAATGGCCGCTATGGCCAGCGCGCTGCACAGATCCAAAGCCAGGAGCCAGGTGCTTCCCCCTGGTCTCCCACATCATGATAGCTGAAATAACAAAGCCCAGCAAAGGTTAAAGCCGAGCATGCCAGAAGGCCTGCCTTGGCAGCTTTCTGTGGCATATTCCCATGCACATAGTCAGTAACAACTTGTCCAAGGCCCCAGTGACTATCAAGAGACAGAACTGCAGCCAAGGAGTAGTCCATTCCAGAGCATGGATTCAAATAAGCAGCTTTAAGCAAGCCCAGGAGCAAAACGCTGACAACTCTCTCACCAGTCCACTGGAGGGATACAGCCTTGGAACCAGAGTGGCAACTTGGTGACAGGTGAATATGCTGCACTCCACACCATCCTGAGGAAGGCCAGTCCTGGAGAAATGCTGAGACGTGAGTGGGTCTCACCACCAGGCTTCGGAGGAACATAGCTGGAGTTCCTTGGGAACCACAAAAGATACTCAACCTCCTGAGAGTTGCCATCTTGCTCCGGAGGGCTCAAGGTCATACCTCTTCCAACTTCTTGTTCACTCTCCAAATGGCTATAACAGTTGAGGCTTGACCAATCCAAAACCAGGAGCCTGGAACTCCAACCTGGTCTCCCAAGGTGGCACATATGTCCAAGCCCTTGGGACATGCTGCTTTCTCAGGCACATAAGCAGAGAGCTAGATAAGAAATGGAACAGCCAGGACACAAACCAGTGCCAATATGGCATGCTGGTGTAACAAGCAGTGGCCTTATCCACTAGGCCACAACGTCAGCCCTCAAAGATGGATTTTTGATACCAGCTCTTTATGCAGAACAATCCTTATTTTAGCGGCTATTCAACTTTATTTAAATAAACAAAGAATCAAGTACTAAAAGCAAATGGAAGCCTCAAAAGGCAAAGACTAGATTTAAGAGCAGACTTAGAATTCATAGGATGCTGAGATTAAGTGCAAGGGAAGAGAATCAGCAATAACTAAGTTTTCAAGTTTGAAGGTTGAGAAAATACTGAGTTCTTCCTTTTTCTTTTTTTAGATAGAAGGGCATAGTTGTTGAGCTGGAAACAATCATAACTGGGTTAGTGCCCAACAGGGAATATACATGAATCTGTCCAAAACAAAGAAAAATTAGATCTGTTTATGAAAGATAAACATCAGAGATTCAAAGGTACAGATTTGGCTCACATACAAAATGAAAAGTCTGCATTGTAATGGGGCCGGTGCTGTGGGTTAACACCCTACCCTGAGGAGCTGGCATCCCATATGGGCGCCGGTTTGAGAGCCAGCTGCTAAACATCCCTTCCAGCTCTCTGATATGGCTGAGAAAGCAGTAGAAGATAGCCAGAGTCGTTGGGTCCCTGCACCTGCATGGGAGGCCAGGAAGAAGCTCCTGGCTCCTGGCTTCGGATCGACGCAGCTCCAGCCATTGTGGCCATCTGGAGAGTGAACCAGGGGATGGAAGACCTCTCTCTCTCTCTCTCTGCCTCTCCCTTCTCTGTGTAACTCAGACTTTCAAATAAATAAATAAATCTTAAAAAGAAAAGAAAGGTAGGTCCTCCAAGATGGCAGAATAGGGAGGGAGCACACTGATAGTCTGGGAAAATATAGTTTAATGAAAGTGGAAATACTGTAGTTTTAGGGAAGAGTTAGGGAAAAAAAACTGCAGAGGAAACTCTTCTGGAACTAGCGGGACACGATGGACCTATGTGGAGGGCACGGGTATCCACGGCTCAGGACCCCAGCTGCTGAGTCTATGCACCAGCACTGGAAAGGGAGGTGAGTCGAAAACTCAGTAGCCAGAGACACTGGCGGGAAAGTGGCAGGAAGAGCCTAGAGGGAATGAGGCTTGAAGCCCCATGGGGGAAAGTTCACCAGGCTAACTAGAGGAGAGAAAAAAAAATAAAAGGGACTGGTATGGATACAATTCTCTATCTCCACTCACCTTACAAAGGCGAGCAAGACAAAGAGAAGGCACTATTCTGGACATACATAAAAGCTGTGCCACCTCAGGGTGGCGCCTGCCCTCAGCCAAGCAGAAAACCTGACTCTGGTAGGGAGAAATAGCAAGAGGTTAAGACCTAGTGAATGTGTGGAGCTTATGAACTGAGACTGGAAACAAAAAACAAAAAACAAAAAACAAAAAACAAAAAACAAACAAAAAAAAAAAAAAAACGAGGGTGTGTGAGAGAACTCACATAGTGCCTAAGACATGAGTACTCTCAGGAGTCACCACAAACTCGGTAACCATGGCAACCCGGTGGGAGATTACAGGGGAATCTGAGCTTACACTGAGGACTGCACAGATCCTGTGTGTGGTCCCTGGGACAGAGCAGATATATATTATACCCACAGGAGCCATAGCTCAGACACTGACTGCCTTCAAGGAGAATAGCTCAACTGTGCGGAGTTACTTCCCTTGTGAATAAAAAAAAGAGAAAGAGAGAAGATTTACCACGCCTAACCTGGGTGTGTCACCTTTGGCACACCCTTAACCCTGAAGAACCAAACAGAGCTCTCCAGCCACACCCATTACAAGCCTCTAAGGATCCACCAAAAGCAGACAGAACACTTAATCTAGAGTCATAGTATAACGAGAAAAGCCACCCACAGTGAGGAGAAAAAAAAAAGAAGAAACTAAATAATATCTCAACAATGCCAAGCAACAAACACAGAAACTGAGGAAACAAGAACAAGGACGACATTATGACACCCCCAAATGAACAAGACAACCAATCCAAGATTATGAAGATGATGAGATAGCAGAAATGCAAGATACGGATTTCAAAAAATTTATGATAAGAACATTTAGAAGTTCTCAAAAACAAAACCTTGAACTACAGAAATCCTTACCAGATAGAAAACCCAGTATCCTCACAGGATAGAAAATCTCTCTCATGAAAATGAAATCTTAAGGAGGAATCAAAATGAAACGCAGAAACTAGTAGAACAGGAAAGTGTGATAGTGAAGAGAAATCAAAATGAAATGAAGAACTCAATAGATCAAATGACAAACACATGAGAGAGTCTTAAAAACAGAATCAGTGAAGTAGAAGAGAGAATATCAGACTTAGAAGACAGAGCAAGGGAAGTATACAGTCAAACCAAAGAAAAGAAAAAGAAATTAGAAATCTAAAAAAATATTGCTGGGAATCTACAGGATACTATTTAAAAAAAACCAACATTCGGGTTCTAGGAGTTCCTGAATGCATGGAGAGAGAGAAAGTATTAGAAGACCGTTTAGTGAGATACTAGCAGAAAACTTCCCAGGTTTGGAGAAGGGCAGAGACATCAAGTACAGGAAGCTAATAGAACCCCTAATAAACATAACCAAAAGAGATCCTCAACACAACACATTGTAATCAAACTCACAACAGTGAAACATAAAGAAAAGGTCCTAAAACATGCAAGAGAGAAAGGTGAGATTACTCTCAGAGGATCTCCAATTAGACTCACAGCAGACTTCTCATCAGAAGCTCTACAGGCTAGGAGGTGAGATATAGCCCAAGTACTAACAGAAAAAGAAACTAACAGCCCAGAATATCATATCCTACAAAGCTCTCATTTGTAAATGAAGGTGAAATACAGACCTTTCATAGCAAACAGAAATTGAAAGAACTTGTCACCACTCATCCAGCCCTGCAAAACATGCTTAAAGATGTGTTACACACAGAACAATAGAAAAACGGCCAAGATCACAGGAAGTTCAAAGCATGTATTAGAAAAATCTTTGGGAAAATGGCAGGGCAAAGTTACTACTTATCAATTGTCACATTGAATGTTAATGGCCTCAACTCTCCAGTTAAAAGGCACAGACTGTCTGAATGGATTAAGGAACAAAACCCATCTATTTGCTGCCTACAAGAAACACATCTTTCCAACAAAGATGCATGCAGACTGAAAGTGAAAGGCTGGAAAAAGATATTCCATGCAACAGAAACCAAATAAGAGCTGGCGTAGCTATCTTAATATCAGACAAAATAAACTTTAACACAAAAACTGTTGAGACAAAGAGGGCACTATATAATGATTAAGGGATCAATTCAACAGGAAGATGTAACTATTATAAATGTATATGCACCTAATTACAGGGCACCAGTTTATTTAAAAGATATATTAAGGGGCTGAAAGGGAGACTTAGACTCCAATACAATTGTATTGCGGGACTTCAATATTCCACTCTCAGAAACAGACAGATCAACCGGACAAGGAAAACAGCAGATATAATCAAAACTATAGATGGGTCTAACAGATATCTATAGAACTTTCAATCCTACACTTAAAGAATTTACATTCTTCTCAGCAGTACATGGAACCTACTCTAGGATTGACCACATACTAGACCATAAAGCAAGTCTCAACAAATTCAAATGAATTAGAATCATACAATATAGCTTCTCAGGCCACACTGGAACAAAGCTGGAAATTAGCAACTCAGGAATCCTTAGAGCTTATGCAAACACATGGAAACTGAACAACATGCTCCTGAATGAACACAGGGTCATAGAATAAATCAAAGAAAAATCAAAAATTTTCTGGAAGTAAATGAGGATAACAACACAACATATCAAAACTTATGGGATACAGCAAAAGCAGTGTAAGGAGGAAAGTTTATAGCAATAGGTGCCTACATCAAGAAATTGGAAAGCCACCAAATAAATAAGCTTCAATGCATCTCAAGGATCTAGAAGAACTGCAGCAAACCAGACCCAAAACTAGTAGGAGAAGAGGAATAATTAAAATCAGAGAAGAAATCAACAGGATTTATCCAAAAAAAAAATAACAAAAGATAAGTGAAACAAATAGCTGGTTTTTCAAAAAATAAACAAAATTTACACACCATTGGCACAACTCACTAAAAAAAGAAGAGAAAAGACACAAATCAATAAAATCAGAGATGAAAATGAAATGTAACAGACACCATCGAAATAAAAATAATCATAAGAAATTACTACAAAAAGTTGTATGTCAGCAAGCAGGGAAATCTATCAGAAATGGATAGATTCCTGGACACAGGCAACCTACCTAAATTGAACCATGAAGACATAGAAAACCTAAACAGAGAAAGAACTTCTAAGATCAATCCCATTCACAATAGCTACAAAAACAAATACGTTGGAATAAACTTAACCAAGGATGTTAAAGATCTCTGAGATGAGAATTACAAAATCTTAAAGAAAGAAATAGAAGAGGATACCAAAAAATGAAAAAACATCCTTATTCATGAATTGGAAGAATCAATATCATCAAAATGTCCATTCTCCCAAAAACAATTTATAGATTCAATGCGATACCAATCAAAATACTGAAGACACTCTTCTCAGATCTGGAAAAATGATGCTGAAATTCATATGGAGACACAGGAAACCTCTAATAACTTAAGCAATCTTATACAACAAAAACAAAGCTGGAGGCATCACAATACCAGATTTCAGGACATACTACAGGGCAGTTTTTATCAAAACAGCATGGTACTGGTACAGAAACAGATGGATAGACCA